TAGGGAAACTGCTGTCTATCTCCTTAGACCATCCCTTCCTCACAGTCCATTGTGTAGCTGCATCTAGATTTCTTGATAATGTTTTGTAATTTTTTTACTGCCAATTTTTGTATTTCTGTTTGAGCAATGTAGATTAGTTCTCACAGGGACAGCTTTGGGCATCATGAGGACAGCAAAGTTTCAAGGACTGAAGTGCAGTTTTGAGAATTTGACCCATATTCAGTTTGGGGGGTAGGGGGCTGTTGTTAAGTATCTATAATTTTAAAAAAAAAAATTATAACTTGATATATCAGACTGCTCTGGCAACTTCCCTTGTGCAACAGAAATTGGCATAAAAGGTTCTGTAATTCATGATTTGCCTCAACTATTGCTCTTTGTTTTAAATTAACCATATTATGTTTGCTGTCTTGTTCTTTGCTGAGGTCTAACAGTGTCTTGTTGGCTCATGGGCTGATTTTGATTTTGTCCACAGTAAATATTTGAAGCCTGTATAGTTAACAGTGTAAGCAAAATCAAACTCTCTACTCATTAATAGAGGGAAAAAATAAAATCAAAGAATCTTTCTATGGCTCATTCACGGATTCTGTTTTGATCTTAGAAACTTATTCAGTTAAAATGTCATTATTTTCAAAGATTAGTGATGAAAACCAAATACATGCAGATGATAATAATTAGATGTAATTTTTTTATATTCAGCATATAACCATTTTATATTTAAACCATAAATTTAAAATATCTGTGTAATTTTGTTAGAATCCCAGTAGCAACTTCTTTTGATTCTTGATTGTACTTGTTTCACATGCTATAAAGAGAGTTTGTGGATTTTTATGCTGAAAAAGATTGTCCTTTTTATTTCCAGTTTCCTTTAAATATGTGATCTGAGAATTACTTGGATGCCACCTGCTACAGACATTTTTCTGTTTGCATTTGATTTTAGGTGTTAAAACTCATAAGCAATGGCATAATCTAGGTAACAGGTCTAGTAGCATTATTGTGCACAAAAGCAAATAAGCTGTGAACACAGAAGAAATGAAAACTCCTTTTTGTGATGCAATTTTGATCTTTTCCCACTAACAACTATACACCACCTTCCACTTCCTTTTTCTTTCAGAAAGAAAGATGTCCAGGTACTGTCTCTTTTTTTCTCATTAAGCAAATCACAAGGTTGAGATGTGAATATAGTTACTGTCTCTGGTAGATACCCAACTAAGCAAAATTGAGCTCTTGGATTTTTTTTTTTTTTTAATCAGTCAGCCAAAAGAAAACTTTAAAAGTTAACTTGCAACGTTTGATAGACCCAGCCAGCTTAACTTTTACTCTGAGACAAAGCAGTCCAGTTAAATGGATGATTGGATAGAACGCTGTTTAGATAACCTCACTTGCAACACTGAGAAGAGAAAACAGCTCACATACGTTAGCAGCTGACAATCAGATCAGAAAGTTTACTTTCAGGTACTTTCATAAACCAGGAACTATTCATCTATATAGTAGATGGATTTTGAGCTCCAGAGTTGGCAATTGTCTCCCTATGCCCATTGCTTTTGCTGGCTGATTGGAAATATTGATTTTACTTTCTTTACAAATCTAACATTGTCTATACTAGCTAAGACAGAGAGGGTATGCTCATACAGTTGCAAGTGCCAAGTTTCAGGGCCTTAAGCAAGTTACGTTTCACTAAGTGGGTTTATGCTCATACAGTTTATTTTGTGTTTGCAATCACTAGAACATCATATTTACTCAGTTGCTGTTATGTCAGCCAGAAAGTGATAACTCAGTAAGTCTTGGCAATGCACTCACTTGCAGTCACGTTACTAAACTTTGAGGTTTCCACTGATGGCTGGCACAAGCCATAACTGTACGCTGCAGTCAGTATCAGAGATTTCCATTCAGATTCTGTGAGGTTGCACTTGTGAAGCAACTACCAAATAGATCACAAACCTCTTCTTTCCTTTGTGAAATGTACTGGCTGTTTCAAGCATATTTAGTGAAAAATTACACACCATTTTTGGCCTTGTTGTAGGATATTCATGCTCTACTGATTAATTGGTAAGTAGGGATGACACCATGAGGGATGATTATCTCTAAAGATAAAATGTCATTTGTCTCACACACTTTTACATTTTCACACTCCTGTTTTACATGGTACTTATGCACCAAGTATAAAACTGGAATTGCACTTTACTTCAGAAGCATGTTAGCCATTAGGACCCTCAGATCAGCTCTTCTTACTTTGTAATTTCTTTCATTTCCTTTAATTTCCTTACCTTTCATGAGAAATGATGCCAGGTGATTTTTTTCAACCCCCATTTTTCAAGGAAGACTTGTGCTGACAAAAAGATGGGCCATATATTGTGGCAGAAAATGTGTGTGGAGGGGGTCTTAATTCTTAACAGGAAATTCAGCAGCTCTTGGCACTTTGCTAGCTTTTGTTGGCTAAAATATGCCCACTGCACATATCATCCTGTGACAGCATCATTTGGAAATAGGTCAGTTTGCCAAGTATATAACGATTCTTAATCTCTGACTGCCATGCTAACTTTCTGAAAGTTAAGTTAGTAAGCTGAATTTTGGCTTTGATTCTATATATACTCAGGAGCTGCCATTAAACTCCCTGTGTGGTGTCACGATAGTGTTGAAAAGCAGTTGAAGAACTTGCTCAAACAGTAAAGGGTAATGGCAACCTCATCTCCTCAAAGGGCTTAACTAAATGTTTTATTTTTTATTCATGCCTTTAGTCAACTTTCAAAGTGACCTTTATGTTGTAAGCATATTCTCAGAGGATCTTCTCTGTCTAGGGTACTGACAAAGAGGTGATGGATTGTATGATTTAGTGGTTACGATGTACTTAGACAAGTGCAGGCAGACAGGAAAGAAAACAGTGAATTAAGCCCCTATGAAGAACTGAAATCCTGTGATGCTCGTCAGGATCAGTGTAAGATAATTAGTGATTTGATTAAGAGGTAAAGCTGAGCCATGCAATTGATACCAGTGGGTGGGTTTGGTTGCTGGCATTTACAGCAAAGTTAATCCAGAAAGCTGCTCTTTGGGTACATTTCTGGCATTAATCATGTGCTTTTGATCAATCTTCATGTGAAACTTGCTCTTCGCCTGTTTGTTCTTGTAACAGAAAGGGTAGTGATTTTGCTTTTATCACAGCAGAGTCTATTGCAGTCATCATCACCTGATAGTGTAATCTCAGCTAAAACAAAATAATTTGCTAGCTCCTGAGTGCTTAGAATAGCATTCATACTTCTAGCATTTTTAAGCTGCCGTTGAACCCAGCAATCACCTTTTAACACTTTATTTAATGATTGTTGTCTCCCTGTTTGACCTCCTTATTCCAGTGAGGCAGAATTATGATAGAACAGTCACCGTTTAAGTTTCTAGAAAGCAGGTGTTCCTCACGAGGCAGTCAATTTGGAGTCAAGAGTCTCGACAAGACGTTTTGTGAAAGGAAGTAAGTTGCACTTTTCACATTTCCATCAGGAAAGGTGGTAGAAGAGCAAGCCATTTTAAAGACTGACACATTAACTCTTAGCAGAGGAAATGGTTTGACAAATGCTGTGCTGAGCATATATCGCTTGGCAGCATTGGAACATAGGTTTCCCTGGGCACGCTGCTCTGTGCTAAGCATTGTAATTGAAAACCTCATTTTGTCGGCAGTGACAGTCTGGAAAAATCCACTCTTGATTCAGTCCT